GCTGTCCGCCAAGCGACCGCGCGGCCTTAGCCCGCGCCTTCATCGCCAAGGCCGTCTTCGCGCTGGTTAGCACCCGGATGTTGCTTGATCGTCTGCGCCACGACAGCACCCTGCGCCGGTTGTGCGGCTGGCGTAGCGTCAAGCACATTCCGAGCGAGGCGACGTTTTCACGTGCCTTTGCCGAATTTGCCGACAGCGCCTTGCCGAGCCACCTGCACGAGGCGCTGATCAAACGCACCCAGGGTGAGCGTCTGGCAGGCCATATTTCACGCGATTCGACGGCGATTGAAGGGCGCGAGAGACCGACCCCGAAGGCGCCGCAGCCGGCCAAGCCGAAGCGGCGGCGCGGGCGTCCGCGCAAGGGCGAGGAGCGCCCCACGGAGCCGCGCCGTCTGGAGCGCCAGCGCAACATGACCCTGCCGGAGATGCTCGCCGACTTGCCGTACGCCTGTGACATTGGCGTCAAGCGCGACGCCAAGGGCTATCAGACGTCATGGAGCGGCTACAAGTTGCATATTGACGCGGCCGACGGCGCCATCCCGGTCAGTTGCCTGCTTACCTCGGCGTCGCTGCACGACAGCCAAGTCGCCATCCCGCTGGCGACCCTGACGGCGGAGCGAGTCCGCAACCTGTATGACCTGATGGACAGCGCCTACGATGCCCCGGAAATCCGCGCCCACAGCCGCGCCCTGGGTCATGTTGCGATCATCGACGTCAACCCCCGCAGCGGCGCGCGCAAGCAGGCGCTGCGGCAGGAGAGGCAGGCACGGCGTGCCTGTGGGTTGGTCCTGTCTGAGGAGAGACGTTACCACGAACGCTCGACCGTCGAGCGCGTCAATGGTCGCCTCAAGGATGAATTCGGAGGTCGCAGCGTGCGCGTGCGCGGCCATGCCAAGGTGCTGTGTCATCTGATGTTCGGGATTGTGGCGCTCACGGTTGATCAGTTGATGCGCTTGGTGACCTGAAGCTGGTCTCGCGGCCCCGTTTCCTCCATCCCGGCACGCGCTGCTGTCCTGTACGCAGGGGGGAGAGTTGCGTCCGCATCGCAAGACGGGAGCCGGAACTCGGCACCGCCATGGCTGAATTCGTGGCAATTGGAACCACCGACGGCAAATGATTCACCGTACGGTCTCATGACAACCGCTCCGAGGCCAAACTAGCGGAGTTTTGCAAGTGGCTCCTCTTTGACTTTTTTACAGGTGGCGAGGAAGGAAGAGGCGTATCTTTCGTCTAAGTTTGCAGAGCACTATGCTGCCTACAAAAACAGTGCGCCACGGTTCATCCCTATGAATTTCAGGGCATTTCAAACGGAGCCCAGCGTGAATGTTGACGTCCGAGTGTTGAACCGCTGCTTTTGGGACGCTGCATTCTTTATCCTGGCAATTCCCAGCGCTTGAGCTTGTTAAATGGTTGCATGGAGTCAAATCTGTAGCGACATTCGTATTGGTCTGACGCCAATATGTAAGCTATGAATTGGCGCCGTTGCTGGTCGAAACGGCAGTCGCGGCAGGGCTTCCCACCACGCAGGGTGATTTCGCCGGTTTCGGGCCAAAACGGTGGGACATGTGCCGAGGATTCAGAACTGTTTGGCAGTAAAAGTGGAACGCCAGCCCAGAAATCAAGGACGCCGTCCAGATGCCCAGGCAGCCTTGCCGGAGCTCACGGGCAGTATTGCAAGTGATGATTTACGCGGCAATCCGCTCAACCGGTGAAAGTGCAGATCGTTAGATACGGCCGACGGCAGGTTTTCCCCTTGCCGGTGTGGAAAACGTCGGCGACTGTTGTCTACTCGAATTCTGGGCTGGGAAGATGCGTCAGGGACCAGAATCTGACAGTTGTGCCTTGAGCGCCTGGAAGTCTGGTCTCGGTCAGCCCGGTAGCGGCCTCGATGACGTCTCACGTCACCCCGACCCGTAACAAGCCTTCCCCGACTTGGATTTTGGCGCGTTGTTCGTCGTGCTGCTCACCTTCGGCCAAGAGTTCCTCCGCATACGTCATGATCTCTCCTCCGCGCTCAAGTCCCTGGCGCTGGAGCGCCTCGGTGTCCTGCGTCACTATCAGGTACAAAATGAAGCGTCAGAGTTCATCCACCCCGCCGCCGACCTGGCTCAGAGACAGGAGCAACTGCGCCGTCATCTGCAGCGCCATGTCCACGTGGCGGCCGAACGCTGCCATCATCAGCAACTAGAGCGTTTTCGTATCAAGCTGTAGGTCGGATTAGCGAAGCGTAATCCGACATTCCACTGCACCCCGCAGGCTTCTGCTGTCGGGTCACGTCTTCGGTTAACCCGACTTACCTGAAGCCGCCAGTCTATACATGTATTCAATCCGATACAGAAATGCTCTAGGTGTCGCGGCCCCTGACGCCGCCGGCAACCTTCGTCGGGATCGAGAGTCGTCTGGTCCAGGAGTTCGTGAGCGAACCGGGCTACCCACGGCAAGGCGCGGGCGGCTTCGGGAAATAGGTCACTGAACTCGGTCGAATGGTTCCAATCGCGCCCGCTCTGGTAAAACACCACCGGCACGATAGGCCGTAGCTTGTTCCGCGCCACCCGGAGCCCTCAGCCATTCGTCCAGCTTTGACCACCGACGCCGCCCCGATACGTTGCGCACGGCGATGGACACCGCCTTCTTTTGCCCCACCAGGGGTCGGTTGCGGAAAAGGGCGAAATGACACGCTAAGGGCAAATCAGCGTCTCTTTTTCCATCTGTATTCGGCCGGCAAGCAGAATGTGGCCCCATCCGAGGGGCGAGGTGTGTGGCAGGAGCTCAGGCACCACGGGCAGGCCGGCGTGTCTTCGCCTGGCGACCGCTTCGCCCAGCCGGGCGGTGTTCCAGTAGATGACGATGGCGGCGAGCAGATTGAGGCCTGTCAGGCATTGCGAGCGTTAGAGCGCTTTCGGATCAAGACGGCTTGTAGTGAGTGTCGGCCTTGTTGAAATCCTGATCGTTCAATACAGAAATCGAGCGTTTACAGCCACGTAGGCGCTAAGCATGAACGCGCCTTCAAGGCGGGAAATGCGCCTGCCGGTGACCATGACCGGAAGCAAAAGGACAGCCGACGCCAGCATGATCCATTGATCGACGGCGACGATATGGCCCGAGAATTCCAGAGGACCGAACAACGCCCCGGTACCCAGCACGCCCAGGATGTTGAAGATGTTGCTACCCAGAACGTTGGCGACGGCAACGTCGGCATGATGTCTGTAGGCCGCAATCATCGTGGCTGTCAATTCGGGCACCGATGTGCCGAAGGCGATCAAGGTCAGGCCGATGATCGACTGCGGAATGCCGACGGCTTCGGCGATTGCAACAGCCGTTTCGACAAGCAGGGCTGCACCATAGACAAGACCCACGAATCCGCCGAGGATATAGGTGATGATCTTCAGAATGCCCATCGGAATACCAGCGTTTTTCTCGCCGACCTTCTCATGCAACTCGGTGGCGGCATTCTGATGCCGCCTGTCCCGCCGGTAGCTCAGCCACATGAAACCGGCCAATAGTGTCAACATCGACCCGCCTTGCCAAGTTGCAATTCCGCCGAGCAATCCGAGGCCGCACAGCAGCAACGCAGCAAACAGCATCATGGTGCCGTCATGGCGCACCGCACGCGGGTCGCAACTTAGCGGTCGGATCAAGGCCCCCATCCCGAGGATGAGCAGGGTATTGGCGATGTTGCTCCCGATGGCATTGCCGACTGCAATGTCCGCGTTCCCGGCGAGCACGGACTGAACCGTAACCACCAACTCGGGCGCGGAGGTGCCGATGCCCATGACCGTCAACCCGATGATCGCGGGCGACACCCCCATGAAACGTGCCAAGCCGACCGTGCCGCGCAGGGCGAATTCACCGCCGAGTATCAGGAGGATGAAACCAAGGACAAGAAAGAGAATATCCATCATGCCTCCAAGCGCAGCAACTCACCACACGACTGTAATTCTTTAGCCTGCCCGGCAATCTGCGGTTTTCCTCCGAGTGCAGAATGAGGGGCAGCGGCTGAAAGCTACAGAACTACCCAGGTCAAAACCGATCCCGGTATTAGAGCATTCCCGTGTTGGGATTGAGTGATATGTGGTCCGGTAGCCCCTCAAGCAGGTCGGGTTAACCGCAGGCGTATCCGAAACCTGCAGCTTGATACTGAAATGCTCTGGCGCTGCCCCCGTGCTGGATTACCTGATCTCTCCATGGTGGCCGCTGCACAGGGTTCTTCAGGGCATGGCGGGACGTTCCCTTGTTCAGGCCAACCCGGGATGGCGCTGCATGGCTGGATTCAGCGCCCAGTCGATTATGAAGAGTGTGGGGCTCGATCCGTCCGATTTCGCGCAGCGCAGCGGCGACATCGCTACGGCACAGATCACATTCTCGAAAACGTTGTCTCGAGTGCATGTTTTCGTAACAAGGTTTTGCGGGGTTGTCGGGCGCGTTTTTCGGCAAAGCGTAAGTCCTGGAGGTCTACCGCGATGCGCGCGACAAAGAGTTGGATACTGTTGGCAAACCCTGCTTACAGTCATCTGCCCGCCCTTGTCGCACAGGAGGGAGCCAGCAATGCCAATGGTAAGGGCCATGTCGGGGCTCGCGGCCGTTCTCCAAACTTGGCCACTTGGCGATTCAATTGGGGTTCGCCAACAGTATCCGGACGATTTCCTTGTAGACACAACTGGCACCGTATACCCCGACGATTCCCGAAAGAAAACCTGTTGCGCAAAACTCTGCAAGTTTCTGAATGCGGCCCTGTCTATTCTGACGGGGGCCGGCCCTATGAGGTCATCATCAGGACGACCGTAGCCACAAGAGACGGCTCGTAGAGGATCGTGCAACCCCTGGTCTGGCAGGTTACAATTTCATTCTCACGAGCGTGGGTCTGTCGCAGATAATCTGGGCCCATTCGCATTTAATTCGGGCCGGACCGAAAATATAGTCAGTTAATGTGGGCCAGAAATTGCGATGATCTCGGGCCCGGCTTCCGATGTTCTCAAGTCGCTACACATGAGATGCAACTTTCAGATCGCAACCACACTTTTTGCACTCCCCTTATTGCCTCGCAGGTATCCGGCCGGAGCTTCGAGACGGGCTGAATCATGGGGGTGTTCCCGTTGGGTAAGGGGAACGTGGCGGCGTGCCGGGCGAGCGGGGCCGCGCGATCCCGTGTTCGTGGTGATGATTACAGGCTGTCTCTGAGGGAAGGCGTCGGCTTGAAGGCGATGGTCTTGCTGGCTTTGATCTTCATGGTGGCCCCGGTTTGCGGATTGCGTCCTTTCCGTGCCGCTCGTTCTCGCAATGTGAAGGTGCCGAAGCCTGGGTACGCGAAGCGCTTTTCTTTGCAGACGGCTTGGCCGATGGCGTTGAAGGTCGCCTCCAGTAGCGTTTCGGGTCCTTCTTGCTGAGGCTGACGCCTGAGGAGCTGGTGACTTGGTCGATGAGGTCTTTCTTGGTCATGTGGTTTCCTTTGTGAGTTGAGGGATTTCTGGAAGACGAGCGTAGACAGGAACGTGGGAATATACAACCAGGCGGCCTAAATGGAGTCAGGCGTGGTGGGGAGTGCCAAAAAACGGGGGATACTCAAGGGGCGTGCGGTTAAGTTTCAGGTGTCCTGTCCCAGACGACTTTAGTCTTGGGCGCCACGGCTCAATTTCCTCTCCCCACACGAATCCGCAATCGCCCACACTTTTTGGCGCTTCCCTATCCTACGGTGTAAACTCTGCGCCCACAGCGTCGTACATGTATGACAAACAAAGAGGCCGCCATGTTGTCGATCCGACTTCCCGAAGAAATCGAAGCCCGACTCGAGCGCCTTGCGAAGCAGACGGGCCGGACCAAGAGCTTTTATGCTCGCGAAGCCATCCTTGAGAAAATCGAGGACATGGAAGACGTCTATCTAGCCGAACACGTGCTGGAGCGCATTCGCAAGGGGGAGGAAAAAACCCTGAGCGCGGAAGAAATGTGTCGTGGCCTGGAGGATTGAGTACGCCGAAAGCGTCCAGAAGTCCGTTCGCCGCCTGGATCGGCAGATGCAGCGACGGCTTCGGGCTTTCCTCGAGGTCCGATTGGCCGGCATGGACAATCCGCGCCAGGCATTGCGATGCAGGGGACACGGTATGGTGATCTGTGGCGTTACCGTGTCGGAAATTATCGTATCATGGCCGAGATAGATGATGAACGTATCCGTATCCTGGTCGTACGGATCGCCCATCGCAGCGATGCATACCGCTAGCAACTGCGCAGGAGGTAAAGGGTGAAGCCGCACCGAAACTGGAAGAGGCGATCTACCTGGAGAGTGCCAAAAAGTGGGGGCATTCAAGGTCGCACGGTTCAATTTCGGACGCCCTGTCTCAGATACCTTCAGGCCTTGGTGTCGCGGCTCGAATTTCTCTTGCCCACACAGATCCGCAATCTCGCCCCCACTTTTTGGTACTCCCCATTGACGTACGTCACCAACCTCATGCGCAAGCCCGTAGCCGTGTGCCAGGCTCAAAACGCTAAGCAGGCCGCCACCATATGACTGCCAAACATCCCCCGGAAGAGGACGTACAACCCGCTGCCAGCCCCGCAAAAATGCCACAGGCGGACAGTTCGATAGGCGGGGCGTTGGCGCCTTACCAGCGCTCGAGCCGGCGCCGCGCACTCTGCCAGATCCTCACCTCGGTGCTGCCCTACGCCATGTGCTGGTACCTGATGTTCCATAGCCTGCAGTACGGCTACTGGCTGACGTGCCTGCTGGCCGTGCCGGCCGCCGGCTTTTACCTGCGGTCTTTCATGATCCTGCACGATTGCACGCACGGGTCGTTCTTTTCCTCGCGCAGGGCGAATAACGTGCTGGGGTTCGTGCTCGGCGTGCTGACGCTGGCGCCCTTCGCCTTCTGGCGCAAGACGCACCTCATCCACCATGCCACCTCCGGCGACCTCAATCGCAGGGGGTGGGGCGATGTCAAGACCCTGACCGTCAGGGAATATACCGCGCTCCCCAAGGCACGACAGCGCCTGTACCGCCTTTATCGGCACCCGCTGTTCATGTTTGGCATTGGCGTTTTCCTGCTTTTTCTGGTGTTTCACCGCTTTCCGTGGAGGATCCCGTCGGATTGGAAGCGCGAGTGGCGCAGTGTCCATCTGACGAATGCCATGCTGGCGCTGGTCGCCGTTGTGATGGCGCTCACCATCGGTTTCACGTCCTTTCTGATGATCCTGGTCCCCATCATGCTGATTGCGTCGTGTTGCGGAGGCTTGTTGTTTTACGTGCAGCATCAATTTGAGGACACCTATTGGCGCCCGCACGACGAGTGGAATTTCCACCAAGCGGTCCTGCTGGGAAGTAGCTATCTCGAGTTGCCCCGTCTTCTGCAGTGGTTCAGCGCCAATATCGGCTTTCACCATATCCACCATCTGAGCGCGCGCATTCCCAATTACAACCTCGAGGCCTGCTTTCGAGGCATCCCTCAGGTGCAACATCCGCCGCGCATCAGACTCGGGCAGAGTTGGCGCTTGGCGTCGCTGAAGTTATGGGATGAAGAGCAACAACGACTGGTGGGTTTCAAAACGGGACGGCAAAACGGGGCCAGGCAGCCTGCCAAGCCTCTCCAGCATGCCTGAAATGTCCGGCAGGCTTATCTACGCCATGAGCCGTGCTGAGCCATCACCCTCAAAGTGGTCCATCCCGACCTTGCGGGATAAGCAAGTTATGCCTTGCCCGCGATGTTGGGCCGCTGGGTCCAAGAAAGTCTCGGCTTGGAAACTTGCCCATCGAATCAGTGGGGTTAGACGGCGTAGCCTGGAGCCCAGCTTCACGCACTTCCCGTTTAACTGGACCGGCGATGGCGGAGGCGCCTCAGGCACGGGGGTAGGCACTCTGGTTCCGAGACCGTCAGAGTGCCGCCTACCCGCATCGGACCCTCTCACAAAACGACCGTTTTCCCTTGCTCCCGCCAATACGCCCAAATGCCCCTGAAACAGCCCAATTCCTGTTTCATCTGACCGTCTCACCTATTACAATATCAACAAGTCACTATGATGTATGAAATATGAGACGAAGGAGTCCTGTATGGGGAAGTTGATCGGCTACGCCCGGGTGAATACCGGCGACCAAGACCTGCAGTTGTAGTTGGACTCCTTGAAGACGGCAGGATGCCGTGACGATGACATCTATACGGACAAGGCATCCAGAGCTCGCGCCGGCCGGCCTGGGCTCGATTCATGTGTCGCCGTCCTGGAGCCGGGAGATACACTGGTTGTCTGGAGGCTGGACCGCCTGGGGCGCTCGATGCCGCACCTAGTGGGTCTGGTGGAGGATTTTGCTGGATAAGGGCATCGGCTTTCGGTCGCTGCTCGACGGCGCCATCGACACCACCACGGCATCCGGGGAACTCATGTTCAATATCTTCTCGAGCTTGGCGCAGTTCGAGCGACGCCTCATCCAGGAGCGGACCCAAGCTGGTCTCGCGGCTGCCCGGGCGCGGGGACGTCTCGGCGGCCGCAAACCGATCAGTCCGAACGACCCGCGCGTGGTGACCGCCAAGCGCCTGCACAAGGATCGCAGCTTGAGCATTGATCAGATCTGCAAGACGTTGGGAATCTCCAGGCCAACGTTTTACCGATACTTGGCATTACCTGACGTCACCCGGAGAAGTCCCCCGCAGACGCCTTAGGGCAACTTCCTCCTCGCTTCCAAAGGTTAACTTTACGACCATGTCGCTTGGGTGCACCAAGCGTTGGCAGTTCATAAAATATACTAAGGTGCATTCCGCAACAGACGTTGGTCCTAGGGCCTGTTGACATTCACGCGATTGCCAAGCACGGACTGACTCCATGAATCACGACAACGTATTGATATTATATGATTTACTAATCTGAACATCGCACCTGAACAGATCCGAAATCAGCGTCTCGAAGTTCCAATCCCTCAAGCAAGAGGCCGATACCAAGACAAGCATAGTGCTGGTTTCTGGCGTCCCCATTCACTCCTGTGCCAAACTGGCGACTCATACGACCGTATCTTTTCTATGAATGTCAACAGGCCCTAGTTCCCTGCGTTGTGGGAGGGGGTGAGGCAGCGGCACCGCGAAAGCCGACGGCAACAGCTATCCCTCATTCGCCTACCGCTACCGCGCCAGTTGCCGCCTCTACTCCAATGATTGTCACGGGCCTTCTATGACTCGTACGAGCCACTTGCAGAATTGCGTGTACGAGTGGGATTTTCTTTCTCCGTGTCAAGCGCGGGGCAGGCTCTGGGCTGATTGGTGGACATTGGGGCCGCTTTCTGATTCTGTTGAGTTGTCAAACAACCGAATCAGGAGGAACGACCCCAATGGCCTTACGTGAGATACTATCGAGTTACTGGTCTTGCTTTCAAGCGCTGCTGTTCCCGCAGCTTGAGGAAACGATCGGGGCGCTGGGGGAAACGCCATCAGCGCTTCGTCATGGTGCTCGAATGGGTGCGGGTGGAAACGCTGCTGCCGTACCAGCACCGGCGTCGCGGCTGTCCGCCAAGCGACCCGCGCGGCCTTAGCCCGCGCCTTCATCGCCAAGGCCGTCTTCGCGCTGGTTAGCACCCGGATGTTGCTTGATCGTCTGCGCCACGACAGCACCCTGCGCCGGTTGTGCGGCTGGCGTAGCGTCAAGCACATTCCGAGCGAGGCGACGTTTTCACGTGCCTTTGCCGAATTTGCCGACAGCGCCTGCGAGCCACCTGCACGAGGCGCTGATCAAACGCACCAGGGTGAGCGTCTGGCAGGCCATATTTCACGCGATTCGACGGCGATTGAAGGGCGCGAGAGAGCCGACCCCGAAGGCGCCGCAGCCGGCCAAGCCGAAGCGGCGGCGCGGGCGTCCGCGCAAGGGCGAGGAGCGCCCCACGGAGCCGCGCCGTCTGGAGCGCCAGCGCAACATGACCCTGCCGGAGATGCTCGCCGACTGCCGTACGCCTGTGACATTGGCGTCAAGCGCGACGCCAAGGGCTATCAGACGTCATGGAGCGGCTACAAGTTGCATATTGACGCGGCCGACGGCGCCATCCCGGTCAGTTGCCTGCGTACCTCGGCGTCGCTGCACGACAGCCAAGTCGCCATCCCGCTGGCGACCCTGACGGCGGAGCGAGTCCGCAACCTGTATGACCTGATGGACAGCGCCTACGATGCCCCGGAAATCCGCGCCCACAGCCGCGCCCTGGGTCATGTTGCGATCATCGACGTCAACCCCCGCAGCGGCGCGCGCAAGCAGGCGCTGCGGCAGGAGAGGCAGGCACGGGCGTGCCTGTGGGTTGGTCCTGTCTGAGGAGAGACGTTACCACGAACGCTCGACCGTCGAGCGCGTCAATGGTCGCCTCAAGGATGAATTCGGAGGTCGCAGCGTGCGCGTGCGCGGCCATGCCAAGGTGCTGTGTCATCTGATGTTCGGGATTGTGGCGCTCACGGTTGATCAGTTGATGCGCTTGGTGACCTGAAGCTGGTCTCGCGGTCCCGTTTCCTCCATCCGGCACGCGCTGTCCTGTACGCAGGGGGGAGAGTTGCGTCCGCATCGCAAGACGGGAGCCGGAACTCGGCACCGCCATGGCTGAATTCGTGGCAATTGGAACCACCGACGGCAAATGATTCACCGTACGGTCTCATGACAACCGCTCCGAGGCCAAACTAGCGGAGTTTTGCAAGTGGCTCGTACGAAAACAGATTCTCAGAACGGGACATCACACTACATCAACCCGAAGCTGAGGAACCCGTCTGGGGGGAACAAGTCGTAGACGCGCCTGCCGACGAGGTCCTTCAACGTCTCGGTCGCACCACCGCCGAGCGTGCCGTAACGCGCGCCGCGGTAGAAGTGAGAGACCGGGAATTCATCGGTGAAGCCATAGCCGCCGTGGACCTGCAGCGCGTCGCTGGTGACTTTGATGGCCATCTCGTTGACCTGCATCTTGGCGATCGCCGCAAGATAGGGATCCGGGAAGGGATCGGCCGAGGCGGCGGCGCGGTAGAGAATCGAGCGGCTCACCTCGATCTCGCGCGCCATGTCGGCGATGTGCCAGCGCATCCCCTGCATCGTGCCGGTCGGCCGCCCCTTGATCGTGCGGTGACGCACGTATTTCACCGCTTCCTCGAAGGCCCCTTCGGCGAGACCGAGCGACACCGAGGGATTCATGCAGCGCTGGGTGTTGAAAGCGGTCAGCAGCTTTTTCATCCCGTCGCGCTCGATGATAAGGTTTTCGCGCGGTAACTCCATGTCGCGGAACTGAATCTCGGCCAGTTCTCGCCGCCCATGGTGTGATACCGCGCCGTCACCTCGAAGCCCGGCGTCGACGGGTCGACCAGAACGCAGCCGATGCCTTCGGCTCCAGGGACGTTGTCGACGCGGGTGAACACGATAAAGCAGTGCGCCTCGTCCGCGCGAGAGATCAGGGTCTTGGTGCCGTTCAGCACCACAGTGTCGCCCTTGATCACCGTGTTGGTCTTGTAATTGGAGACATCAGTACCGGCATGCGGCTCGGTCATGCAGATCGCCAAAATCACCTTGTTGGTGATGACGCCTGGCAGAAATTTCTCTTGGACATGCTTCGGGGCGTAATTGGCGATGATCCGGTTCTGCGCGCCCATCGCACTCATCGCCGCCATCGCGGTAACGTAGCAGACCTTGGCCACTTCCTCGAGCACCAGTACGCAGTCAAGCACCGGCAGGCCCATGCCGCCGAATTCCTCGGGCACGGCCATGCCCAGAACGCCGATCTCGGCCAGATCTTCCAGGTTCTCATAGGGGAAGGTGCCATCCTGCCACTTCTTGACGCGAACCTTGAATTTCTCCTGCGCCAGCTGCCGGACAGTGCCGACCATGGCGCGTTGGTCGTCGGTTAGTTCAAGCTTCATGTCTCTTCTTTCGTGCGTTCAGTCGAATACGGGTTGGCGGCGTTCCGCGAAGGCGGTGAGCCCCTCCTTGTAGTCGTCGGATTTCAGCATCTCGACGATATGGGCGCGCTCTATCTCAAGCCCCTCGTCGAGCGTTTTCTCGATACCGCGGTAGACCGCATCCTTCAGCCGGGCCGCCGTGCGGCGGGACCGCATTGCAACGGTTTCCGCGAATTCCATCACGCGGTCCATGAACGCCTCTACCGGCACCACGTCGTTCACGAGCCCCCATTCGGCGGTCTTCTCGGTTATGAGGGCTCAGCAGTGTACATCGTCTCCAGCGCGCGCGCCGTTCCGATGAGCCGCGGCAGGCGTTGCGTGCCCCCTGCCCCAGGCATGGCACCGATGCGCGCTTCGGTAAGGCCGAGCTTGACGCCTGCCGCGGCGAAACGCACATCGCAGGCAAGCGAGATTTCCACTCCGCCGCCCATGGCATGGCTCATCAAAAGACGCCGGCCGCCCACTGCGCTGATCCCGGACACGCAATACTTCGATCCGGTCATCAACGCCTCGGCAGATGAAAGACAGCGGCGTGCGCGGGATCGAGAGAGTTCTCGCGCACCCTCCATCTCTTCGACCGGACGGTCCACCAAGGGGTTATCACGGATAACGCCGCAGGTCCTGCCATACAGGTCGGTTGAATCGATTTGTCGAATCCCGGCCCGCAAGCAGTGCCACCTCACGATCATGCCAAGCAGGTGTCCGTATAAGGTCCCTCTCTTGCAAATTTCACCGTACCATGTAAATGATACATGCAGCAGGATCGTTTTCCGGACCTTCGACACGGCAATACGATGTTACGTTGAACCCCACCTCTTACGGACACCCCAGCAGATGAGCAACCCTGATCGGCTACGCGCGTTGTTCCACGGACAAGCAGGACCTGACGGCGCAGAGACAGGCGCTCGCCGAGTTCGGTGTCGCATCGGATCGCATCTACATGGACAAGGGCCTGACCGGCACCAACCGCGCCCGGCCCGGTCTGGATCAGGCCATGGCCGCAGTGCGCAAGGGCGACACCCTGGTGGTGCCAAAACTGGACCGCTTGGCAAGATCGGTTCCCGATGCCCGGCACATCGCGGATCAACTACAGGCCAAGGGGGTGAAGCTCGCCCTGGGCAGCAATATCCATGATCCCAGCGACCCGATGGGCAAGATGTTTTTCAATATCCTGGCCATCTTCGCCGAGTTCGAGGCCGACCTCATTCGTATGCGCACGCGTGAAGGGATGGCCATCGCCCGCGCCAAGGGCAAGTTGCGGGGCAAGCAACCCAAGCTCTCCGACAAGCAGCAACGGGAACTCTGCCGCATGCACGCCACCGGCGACTATTCCATCGGCGATCTGGCGGAAGTTTTCGCCGTATCGAGGCCGACCGTCTACCGGACGCTCAACCGCGCCGCTGCTTCTTCATGAATCGATCCCTACCGGTGCCATGTCGCGCCAAAAGAATCATGCCATTTGGCGTTGAAGATCAGGCTGCGGGAATACGGGGATGTCTTGTAAAACGGCCGGAAACCGTTGCCGAACTCTGAGCCCATAACCTTTCAATTCCATCACCTTCCTGCATAGGTCGGTGCTTCTTGCCTTCTCTTGCCGATTCGGGGTCACGTCGGCTATCTTTATCGCCCCATCACTACAACCCGCTGGCTAGCAGCGTATCGGCGCGCTCGCTGGACCAACTGCTGGCATACTGTCAGGCTCAGGTGCGACTGGGACTGCGGACATACGGAACAAGCGCCAGGACGTACGTAGGCAGACGAGCTACGAGAAGCGGAAGGCAGCACAACGGGAAACAAGAAAAGGCAGTGAGCGAGTGAGCCAGACCTGTAAACCAGTTCACGATTGGAAGATGCCGGAGATCGGCGACATCGGCCTAAAATGCCAGAGGTGCGGGACATTTTCGGCTTCTCAGCGATGTCGGAAGGAATGCGAGTAGCCATCACACGTGCGCGTTATAAACACTACGTGGAGGGCCAGGAGTTCGAGGAGGCATTTGACGCCCATACGATGCCGACCGTGAGACCGGTCGATGGGAGCCCCCCCCCGCGTAAGGAGTTGTCGGCAGAGGAGATCGCCAGGCAAATACAGAAGCAAGCGCACCGCGAAAAGTGAGGGGAGCAATGAGCGAACAAAGCACCAACGCCCCTCCGTATTGGGTCAACGGCCGCAAAGTGACGAATCGCTTCCCCAAATAAATTGCCGTTTCTCTCTGGCTGAATACCCACTTTAAGGGTGTCGCCGTAGAGCACCCGCGCCGGACCCGGCAGCGCTGCGGGGCCACGGGCGATCCGAACCAACTCCTTAATCTTAGAGTCTGATCCATAAGTCGTGAGTGGTCCCGACATGTGGTATTCCGAGTTGATTGCAACATCAGCCTTGGAGGACCCCATGCCTTGGAACAGGACCACTGTAAGGATTATAAACGTGACGGCAGACGCTACGAAAGCGACGTGACAGACAAAGAATGGGCGACCATGAACCATGATCCCCAAGCAGGGGACGCTGGGGCGTCCACGCCAGACAGATCTGCGCGAGGTCTTCAATGCCGTCGAGTATGTGCTGGCCACGGGATGCCAGTGGCGGGTGCTGCCGCGAGACTTTCCGCCCCATTCTACGGTCATGAAGTACTTTTACAGGTGGCAAGGCAGCGGTGTTTTCGACCGCATGATGGATGCGCTTCGTGATCTTGCGCGGGCTGAGGCAGGTCGCGGGCCTGAGCCGACAGCGGCGATTATCGACAGCAAAGTGTGAAGACGACGGAGAGTGGGGGGCCGCGCGGTTATGATGGCGGCAAGAAGGTTGTGGGCCGCAAGCGCCATATCGCAGTTGACGTCGAAGGCTCTCCGATCGTGGTTGATGTCCACGCGGCGTCGGTGCAGGACCGCGACGGTGCCCCGGCTGTGATTATGGCGCTCCTTGAGGTGGCTGTGTGTGTCGAGAGGCTCTTTGCCGATAGTGGCTATGCGGGTCCGAAGCTCCAGGATGCGTTGAAAGAATTGGGTGTATCGGAGCTGATTGAGATCGTGCCCAAGCCCAAGGGCGCCAGGGTTACGGTTTTGTCGCGTCGTTGGGTAGTAGAACGAACGTTTGCGTGGATGGGTCGTTACCGCCGTCTTGCAAAGGACGTGGAGCGGACCCTGGCATGTTCTCTAGCCTGGGTGAAGCTGGCCGGATGCCGCTTCATGATGCGACGGGTCGCTCGGCACCAGAACCTGAGACATTCTGCGGATATCGCCGCCTGATGACTTATGGATCAGACTCTTAGGCCCCCGTACCCCTCAAGAGGCGAAGACCCACGGCCGTTCGCAGGACCAGCACAGCACTATGTGTGGACAGAGACACCGTTCATTGGTTCTTGTATCTCCTTACTCGCTCAAACCAATCGCTCACAAGTTCAACTCACTCTCAAGCTTACTCACTTCTGGAGCCACGTAATTGACCTTTCCACTCTTGTCGTGGCGTTTTGCCCACTGTGAAATACGACTGTAGCTTGCCTGGAATTCCCTGTTGTCTTCGTTGGAGAATTGGACAAGTCCTCTCACCATCGCGGGCCGCACTTCGAGCCCGCCTTCAGAGACGATAGGCCCGACGAGTTCCTGGCTGAAAATTCGTTCCCATGTCTCCGAGAGATTCCCTGACCAGACGGCAACCTCTGTCTCGTAACGATCCTGCTCCCAATCTGGAGATTCTCTCTTGATTCTAGCGAAGTCTTCCCGGAGCACTCCGAATCGTTCAGCCACGTCCTTGGCCTTCCAGGGGTGTTTCATGCTGCACATACCTGGCTTGCGGTCTCCCCCGCGGCTCTTTGCTACCGATCGATCAGTTACACCGACCCCTTTTCCGTTCGCCTCTCGCTTGAGAACTGCAACTAAAGACACGTCGTGGGTGAACACGACGATTTGTCGATCCTGCCCCAGTTCAACGAGTCGGTTTGCCACCAGTTCCCGTCGTACGTGGTCCAGTGAACTCACGGGGTCATCTAGGATGAGTGCGGACTTCGAGGCGTCCAGATACGCCTCCGTAAAGAAGGCGGCCAAACCAAGAGCCGTCTTCTCTCCTTCGCTAGAAACCTCCGGCAGTGTGACATGCTGGCGTGCACCCACAAGCTTTGGCAGATGCAGCAAGGCCGTTCGCTCGGCGCGCGTTTTGGCAATCGTAACCCTCTCGAGCTGTAAACGATCCGTCTCCCGGGTGAATCGATCGCGAATGACCTCGGTAACTTCCGCTGCGGATAGCTCGGAGACCTTTCTCGTGATCGCCCCCGTCGCAGCACTGTTCTTAATGTCTTCCAACTTTGCGCGGATTCTTAGCCGTTTGATCTCTTCGACAATAACACGGCGTTGGTTTCTCATTGCCCCGAGTAGTTCGCTCTCCATCCTCCTCTTAGTGGTTAAACGGAGACGGTTTTTTGCGGCCTCGGGGTCGGCGAGTTCCAGCGCATCCGCCCTCGCCTGAACGGCGGCCTCACGAAACCGTACTACCAACGAAGCACACTCAAATTCGACACCAGGGAAATCACCGTAGTCGGAAAGTGCCTTGACGAGTTCAGTTCGCACGTTATCTGCTACGGACAATGTCGATCGCGTCTCGGATACAAGCTTCGAATTCCATAGTCTGCGCCGCAGCGCAGCCCGAAACATGTCCCTGCAGGGCATTCCCGAGAAGGTAATCATGTCGATCATGGGTCACAAGACACGCGTGATGTTCGACCGTTACAACATAATCACCGAGTCGGACCAGCGCGAGTATGCGAAGCGGCTATTCGGGCCGTAACACGGACAATGAGGCGGACAATCTGCTAGTTGCAGCTGGCAGATGGTTGATTCATAAGGGGTTATGGGTTTCTGTGATTACATGCACAATGAAACACTCCAGCACATGGTTTTCGAGGCTGAAGACATCGCCGATTTACGACAATAGGAGATACGCTTATGCCTGCCTCGCGTCCTGCTGAACCAACGTGGTACACGATTCTCGATACCCCCTTTGGCGCCTTGTGCATAGTCGGTACAGCTCAGGGGCTGACACACGTCGAATTTCAGGACGGCCAGCGCCCGGTACGACAGGGGCCGGATTGGCAGGAAGATCAGGGCGTTCTTGAAGAGGCGCGGAAGCAGTTGATGGAGTATTTCGAGAGGCGGCGTCAGCGCTTCACGTTACCGGTGGCGCCGGGTGGGACGCCGTTTCAGCAGCGGGTGTGGCGAGAATTGCAGCAGATTCCGTGGGGCACGACGACAACGTACCGGGAGATTGCCGAGCGGCTTGGACAGCCAGCGGCGGTGCGGGCCGTGGGACACGCCAACGGGCGCAACCCGGTGGCCATCGTCATTCCGTGCCACCGGGTGGTGGGCGCCAACGGCCATTTGACCGGTTATGCCGGCGGCATCGCGACCAAGCGGCGCCTGCTGCAGCACGAAGGCGCCCTGCTCGTTTAGCCCCAGCTGTCAATCCAGCGGCGGCAGCACGTCGGGCTGGACCTGATAACCGTCGGCCAGGGTGTTGGTGGTGTTGAACAGCCCGACAATGGCCATCACCTCGCCCAGGCCCTCGGTATCCAGGCCCAGCTTGCGCACCGCCGCCGTGTGCGAGTTGGTGCAGTACGCGCAGCCGTTGGTGGCCGACACGGCCAGGGCGATGATCTCCCGCGTCAGCGGGTCGAGCGGCGATTGGCGGCCGACGGTCTCCGGGTGCATGAGGGTTTTCAGGTTCGTCCACACCAGTTCCAGGTGGTCGGGGTTCGTCGCCAGAACGCGCCAGAAATTGGGCACGAACGACAGGCCCTTGGTGGCCTTGATGTCGGCGAATATCGCCGCCGCCTTGCCGCTGGCCTCGTCTTCGCTCACCATGCGGACGGTGGCACCCGTTCTTCGGTCATTGTTGCCATAAATCGTTGCTCCTTGCCGTCTGAATCTCTTGCCTTCCTCGATTAACCCTGAGCTGCCACCGGCTGCTCCGTTGGGGCGCGATGCCCCCAGATGCTGCCCGTCGTGTGCTGCTGCACCTGCCAGGTGCTGTCGTCCACGGTGCGCGCGCCCCAGCCGTATTCGACCTCAAAGCCCGACGGCGACGCCATGTAGAACGACACCATGTGGTCGTTGGTGTGCCGCCCCATGGTGCGGTTGATCGGCACTCCCTGGTCCTGGCACAGCGTGTACGTCGAGCCGACGTCGTCGAGCGATTGCGTCTGCAACATGAAGTGCCGAAGCCGAGGCTTGATCGACGCGGCCAGGAACGCGACCGAGTGGTGGCGCGGGTTGCAGTGGAAAAAGGCCATGCGGGGCGAGGCGCTTCCGGCGGGGGCCATTCTGGAAGTCTGCACGAAATCGCTGATTCGCATGCCGAGCACGTCGCGGTAGAAGTGAATGCTCTGCCCTACGTCCTCCACCACCAGCACGATGTGCCCCAGGCCCTGCGTGCCGGTCTCAAAACCCGAAATGGCGCGCGGCGAGGCGAAAGGTTGATCGTAGTTCACCAGCGGCCCGTAGAAGACTTCCGTGCGCAAGCCGTCCGGGTCGTCGAACGCAATTAGGTCCACGACCCGTCGCTGCGCCGCCAGGTCTGCGGCGCCTGCCGTTACCTCAATGCCTGCCGCATCCAATTGCCCCCGTATCGCCTTGAGGGCATGCTCGTCGGCGACTTCCCAGCCCACGTAGTCGATGTCGTCATGTCCGTTGGCCTGGAGTGCGAAACGGTGATGATACTCGTCCATTTTCAGGAACAAGGTGCCATCGGCGTCCGGCTCGTGTACTTGCAAGCCAAGCGTCCGGGTCGCAAAGCGTTCCCAGGCTTCTACGTCACTTACCCCAATTCCCAGATACCCAAGTTGGGTCACGCGTTCCATGTGTGCCTCCTTGTTGCGTTAATTGTCCTTACCGAGAAACTCTCGGACACGCTCCATCAATGGCTCTTTGGGATACAGACTGTACAGGAAACCGGCGCGGGCCAGCGGGTCGCCGGCAAAGAAACGCTCGTAGAGTACCTGTCGGCCGCCAAAGGCGCTGCAGGCCACGTCCCACGCCAGGTGGAACAGTTGAACCCGCTCGCGAGCGGTGGCCGTGTCCGTGGCCAGATATCGCTCGATCTCCGCCGCCAACGGGGTCTCGAAGTCGGCCTCGGAAGGCAGGGCCATGAAACTGCTCGATCCCAGGAGTTGCAAAATCTCCACCATGCGGGGATAGACGCTCATAAACAGCGTGCGGATGGCTTCCAGCGGCAGTTCGTCGGGACACATCACCCCCCACTGGTCGCGCCGCGCATCCGTCTCGGCGGCACGCAGGGAAGCCTTCATGACCTCCGTGTAGGTCATGAGCTCGGCGAGACGCTCCTTCACGTGCGGTAGTTCCTCCGAGCCCAGCGTGCGTGCCATGAGCAGGGCCACGCCCAGCACGAACTCGCTCTTCGCCACGTTTTTGACCGCCCCCTGATGGGCCGTGTGTATCGAGGAGTTGGTGGCGCGCGGCATCTCATTGAGCAGGTCCGCGTCTCCCCAACAGAAAGACCCGTTCCCAGGGCACGAACACGTCGTCGAAGAAAACCGTGGCGTCCATCTCCTCGAAACGCGAGCCCAAGGGATGGTCGAAGTGGGAGCGGCCGATATCGAAACTCTCGCGGCAAAGGAATTTGACCCCTGGCGTGCTACAGGGAATGGCGAAATTGAGCACGTAGGCTTCCGATCCGGCGGCGTTCCCGCCTCCAAAACGGGGCGAGTAGACGGCGATTTCGTCGGCGATCGGCCCCAGCGTCGCCAGAATACGCGAGCCGTGCAGTAACAGGCCGGCGTCTGTTTCCCGCACCACGCGCAGCCCCACGCCCTCGGACAACTGGGATTGGCCCGGGGTGCGGCGGCGCTGCAGGTTGATCAGGGCATGGGTCAAAGTCAGATCGTTTTCCCGGATGTGCTCGTAGTACTGCCGGACGTGCGTTTTGAAGGACAGGCGGTTCTGAGCGAAATAGTCCGCCGCGGCGCCCCAGGCGGCGAAATTGACGTTCAGAAAATCCGGCGAACGCCCCAGCATGCCGCACCCGGTGCGTGCCCAGCGCATCATCATCCTGCCGCGCTGCTGGAGTTCGAGTTGCGTCTGCGGAATGATGAAGGAGTACCCTACCCGGTCGCCGGTGGTCGGTGATACATAGGTCATCTCATCGCGCAGGTCGGCGCGGGATTGCAAGTCGTAGAGGGCTGCCACAGCCTGCACGCCGCCGCGCAACGCCGGATGCGTGGTGACGTCCGAAATGCGTTCACCCCGCAGCCAGACCTCGCGCGGATGTTCCCGCAACCCGGTGATGTAGTCCTGTCCCGTCCGTGCCGGCATGAAGCCACTCCCTTCCGTTCACTTCGCTTAAGGGCGGTATTGTTGGCATGGGAACAAAGAACTGGAGGGCGTCTCTACGGCAATCAGTTGCCGGGCTCGTCCAGAAGGACGAGATGCAACTCACCCGGACCATGCACGCCGACGGTGAGCTTGAGCTCAATGTCGCCGGTGCGACTGGGTCCGGTGACGAACGAGATGCAGCTGGTGAGATTCTGCTGCACGTCTCCCCCTGTCTGCCGGACGTTGCGCAGGGCGTCGGCGAAGGTGGCGACGATCTGGTCGGTGCGGGCGACGGCGACGTGCACGGGCGGCAAGAGCGAGACGCCGCGCATCTGGCCGGGTTGCGCCGTCAGCATCAGGGTGCCCGTTTCGGCGATGACGGCATCTACGCCCGAAAGGCCTATATCAGCGTGGGCCAACAAGTCGCGCATTTCCTGACGGCGGTCGTCGGCCTCCGTCTCGCTCCCTGGCGAAGCGGTATGCACGTTGGCGCCGCCGGCCTGCAACGCGTCGTCGATCTCCAGCGTATCCAGCAAATCCGACTGCCAGCGCACCACGACCTTGGCACCCTTCTCCTTGGCCAGACGGGTGACGTATTGCGCGGCTTCTGCCACGTGCTTGACTCGCGCCACGCTGCCGCCCACGCCTTCCAGTTCGCGCTGCAGTCGCGCCGCCAAGTCCTCGCCTTCCGTTACCAAGGAAACGACCTCACCGTTCTCCGCGGGTGCCGCTTCCGCATGGTGAGGTTGTTTCCCCGTTCGCAGGGCCTGCCGCACACGTGACAGAAAGGCTTCCCGGCTACTCATGATTCCCCCTGAAATGGTCCGTCCAGCAGCCTACGCAACGGCGTGGTCCGCTTCCCACAAATGCTGAGTCTGACTCAATTCCGGTATTCTCCCGCTATCGCCTCCAGATTTTCTATCCACGCCTCCAGTACCTGCAGTAGTTCCGCCTCGTCTTCAATAAAACCATGAGGATACATCTCCTCCATGTCCCCCATAAATGCCTCCGTCTTCTCCGTCGCCTCGCTATTGGGGTCCAAGCGGTAAACAACCGTTGCCAAGCGTCTGTATATCTCTCGCCTCGATCTCGTAGTCCGAATCCAGCCGGTCCAATGCGTTCCGCTTCTCCATATCCTCCAGTATCTCAAGCCATTCCTCTAGCCGTCCTTGCGCCCTCTTTTGTGAGATAAGCCGAGAACTCGATTCCGCAGGTCCCGATCGCGGGTACAGTTTGCAAGCGGCCTTTCCCAAGCGGTCTGCTAACTCCCCCAGTTTGTCCTCAAATTCGTCGTGCATGCCTCCCTCCCTGTGTGGTAGCAGATCAGTCGGCAGAAGATGCGGCGGATGTCTCACCGAAGCGGCCGGCGATCCACCCCTCAATGCGGGCCAGCCGCCTGTCAAGATCCGTTAGTCTGGCATCCACCTTCGCTTGGAAGGCATCGAGCTTGGCATCCAACTTCACGTACATGCGCCAGCCAAGCCCCAAAACAGTCACACCAACAGCAATAGTTGACCAAAACTCAGTACTCATACGTCCCCTCCACCCGCGCCGTTGTGGCTGGGCTGCTCGTATTGCAGGGTGCCCTGCCAGCGCTCCCGGAAGGACTGCGGCGCAACGGCTTTGAAGTCGCGCGACTTGGTCCAGCTATGGAACGGCGGCGGTAGTTTCCCCAGCCAACCGCGCTGCGCGAAGGGCGTCTGCCCCAGCCGTGCCAGCCGCAGGGCCAACCGGTAGAGTCCCGGGCGCTGCATGATCCAGGCCCACAAAGAGAACAGCCTCCCCTCGCCTGCCGATGCGTCACCGCGGCTGACGCTCTGGCGCCGCAGGTTCAATAGCATGTGGGGGATGTTGATCTTGACCGGGCACGCCTCACGGCAGGCACCGCACAGCGTGCTGGCGCGCGGCAGATGCTTGGCCGTGTCCAGGCCGGTGAACAGGGGGGTCAGCACGGCGCCGATCGGGCCGGGATACACCCAGCCGTAGGCGTGGCCGCCGATATTCTGGTAGATCGGGCAGACGTTGAGGCAGGCGCCGCAGCGCAGGCAGTAAAGCGCCTCGCGGTTCTCGCTGCCCAGGATGTTCGAGCGTCCGTTGTCCATGACGACCACGTGCAGTTCCTCGGGGCCGTCGAGGTCGTGCGCCCGCCGCGGTCCGGTGATCATCGTGACGTAGCTGGAAATCTTCTGGCCGGTGGCGCTGTTCGTCAGCACTTTTAACATTACCGGCAGATCGTCGAGCCGCGGGATGATCTTCTCCATGCCCATCAGCGCGATGTGCACCCGCGGCAGGGTGGACGACAAGCGCCCGTTGCCCTCGTTGGTGACCAGGACGATCGAGCCGGTATCGGCGATGGCGAAGTTGACGCCCCGTGATGCCCACATCGGCGCGCAGAAACTGCTGGCGCAGAGCGCGGCGGGCAATCTGCGTCATGTCGGTCAGTTCTTCGGTGTACGGGTTACCGAGCTTGTCGTGCAGCAGCGAGGCGATCTGCTGTCGGGTCTTGTGGATGGCAGGCGCGATGATGTGCGAAGGCGTCTCTTCGGCGAGCTGGATGATGTATTCGCCGAGGTCGGTCTCCAGGACCTCGTATCCCAGTTCTTCCAGGTGCGGGTTGAGGTGAATTTCCTCGGCGGCCATCGACTTGCCCTTGACGATGACCTTGGCCTCGGCCTGTTGGGCAATGCTGGTAATGATATCGCGCGCCTCGGCGTCGTCGTGCGCCCAATGCACGTGAGCACCCAGCTTGTCCAGGTTGTCGGCGAATTGCTCCAGATACGTATCGAGCTGGGCAATCGCCTGCTCCTTGACAGCGCGTGCCTGGGTGCGCAACGCCTCGGGGTCACCGAGCGCCTGCATGGCCGCCACCCGCCGGGGCTCGAATTCGGTGGTCAGGAGGTGTAGAGCATTTTGCAGCGGCTCGTCTTTCAGGGCCTGTCTGGCGTGGTCTTGAAAGCCCTCAGTTCCCAGATGCATGGTGCGGCTCCTCGGCGTTGTGACCGGTGTTCAGTAATTCGGCGAGATGCATGACCCGTACGTCTATCCCCTGCCGCCGGAGCCGTCCGGCGATGTGCATCAGGCAGCCGGCGTCGCACGACACCAGCGTATCGGCCCCGGCCCGCTGCAGACTGGCGATCTTCTTCTCAAGCATGGCGCTGGAAATCTCCGGGTACTTCACCGCGAACGTGCCGCCGAAGCCGCAGCACTGCTCCGACATCTCCGCATCGCACGCCTCGACCCCGGTAACCCGGGATATCAGTCGCCGCGGGGCTTCGGTGACACCGAGCTCGCGCTGCAAATGGCAAGAGGCGTGGTAAGCCACCTTGCCAGAGAACGCCGCGCCAACGTCGTCGGTGCCAACAACGTTGAACAGAAACTCCGACAATTCGTAGGTGCGCGCAGCCAGCGACTCGGCCTGCTGATGCAGGTGGGGGTCTTCGGCAAATAGATCGGGATAAAACAGGCGGATCATCGCCGTACAGGAACCCGAAGGTGCAACGACGTATTCGTAATCGGCGAAGAGGGTGAGGTTACGTTGCGCGACGAGGCGGGCTTGGTCATGAAAGCCGGCATTAAAGGCGGGTTGGGCGCAGCAGGTTTGGCCAAGGGGAAAATCGACGGCAATTCCCAGGCGGTGCAGCAGGCGTACGGTAGCTTCCCCCACTTGCGGGTAGAAGGCGTCGCCCAGACAGGTCACGAACAGGGCTACCCGCGTCGGCCGTCGGCGGCCGGTGGGTTCGGTCATGGGTCCTTCTCCATGGGCTCACGCGTTTGGATTTTTGTCCTGATCGATCTTCCGGAAGAGTTCCTGAAACTGATCAGTCAATTGATCAACTTCGCGTTTTTTCCCGCGCACACGTTGGCGGCTTAGCCATTGGATGAGGGTATAGCAGGAAAATACCCCGATGAGAAATCCGATGATCAGACCACTGACGAACAATGGCATTACCATACGCTGAGCCCCTTTCCCAATGAGGAATCCCAATCCGACATGGAGAGCCTCGGCGAAAATCGTCCTTGACGAGTCAGACCACGTTAACTAGGATACAACCCTTGTTTTTGCCGCCGACGTAGCTCAGTTGGTAGAGCAACTGATTCGTAATCAGTAGGTCGTAGGTTCAAGTCCTATCGTCGGCTTTCCCCATAGGTCATGATCCCGCCCACTATAAACCAGCACTTGCCAAAAGGCAAAAGACCCTCCGGCAGTTTCCTTCGCCGCCCGGCGCAGCATATAAGGACAGCAGGGTGAACAGCGTGGTCAAACCTTCCCTGGCGCAACGCATCGCCGCCATGGTCCAGGAAGCCGACGCTGATGCGGGGCTCCTACGCCGTGAATACGCCGATTTCGACAAGTTTGTAGCGCAGCGTTTCGGGCGGCTCGATGAAGGACAGCAACGGCTTGTCCTGGCTGCCGTTCGGGCCGACGAAACAACCCATTTGGGGCCGGTACTGGAAGGCTCGAGCCGCGATCCCGGGGTAAGTCTGGCGATTCGCGTCGAGGCCCTTGAAACCCTGCAAGCCTTGGGACACCCAGTTGACTCCGGCTATCTGGAGGCGTTGCGGAAGGCCGCCGCGGTTGTGCGGCAACTCGATACCGAGGAGCCGCCCGAACTCGATGACGCAGAAATGCTGACGGCGCCGCTGGATGCGGCGGTGCTGGCCCTGCCCGTGCCACTTGCAGTCGACGTGGCGCGCCAGGCCGCCGCCAGCGATCTGACACGAGCCCTTGCGGTCCTGCGCACGGTGCGGCCACAAGTTGAGACGGTGGATCTGCCCGCTTTGGTGGGCGGACTGGCCTGCGTTCCGCTCACCGGCAGCGCCATGATGCTACAGGACATGCTCGCGGATTCGCCGCCCAAGGCTTTGCAGAAATCCGTCAAGAAGGCCCTGCATCGTCTCAAGTCACGGGGTGTCGTCTGCGACGACAATCAGACGCCGCGCCAAGTCGTTCTTGGCAGCTCGAGCGGCGACCTGGAACGCTGCCTGGCGAGCTTCATTGACGCTACCGGGGACCGCATGATCCTGATGATCCGCGACAAGCCCGGGGGCGGATATCAGGTCGCCTACCTGGTTCTCAATTATGGTACCGGTATCCGCTTCGCGAAGGCACTCCAGGTTAGCCGCCGTGAATTGCCCGAGATGCTGGAGTCGGTGCAGGCGCAGGCGCCGCTGATCGAGCTGGAGCCTGCTCACTGCCAACGGCAGATCGCCCTGGTCCAACAGTTGAACCTCGCCACGCGCACACCCGTTCCGGAGGAGTTTTCATGCTGCGCGACATCATTGGCGAACCGGATGCAATGCCGGAAACCGGTGCCATTTACGAGGCGCTCAACCCGGAAGAACTGGAAATGGCCAGAGCCCAGGGCACTCATGCCGGCGACCTCCTGAACTTGCCTGAACTGGCTGGCTGGACCCTTCCGGAGTCGGCGGTGCGGGAGTACGCGGACGCACTGGCAGAGATAGACGAGAGCAAGATCGTGGTCAGTGAGGCCATGAAACGCGAACGGGTTGACCGCGTCTTCGAAAGCGCCATGCGAGAGGTGCTTGGGGAAGGGCCCCGCGCCGTCATGCGTTTACGTCTAGAGGAAACAGCCCATTATTTCCTGCAGACGGATCGGCGGGTTGAGGCCATGTGGGCTGTGGGAGCGGCTGAATCCTTGCTTGACGACAACCCGGCGCGCCTGCGCGTCAATCCGTTCGCCGGGGCGTTGTTGGAACGCAGCCTGGAAGGCGCCAAGAAGACAGCGGGAAACCGTATCGTGATGCCGTTTTCCACGCCGTCCTCCGGCGCGCCGTCGCAGTCCGCCAGTGAGCCCCGTCTGATCATCTAGCGACGGGAAGGATACGTAGATCATGGGCACAAGGGTGACCGAGATTCCCGCGGCTTCCTCACATAATGCTTTACAATACTTCGAAGCGCAGATGGAGCTGACAACCGATTGCTGGGACGTGCAGGAATCGATGTCTCACGGCAACGCGGATTTTGTGCTGCTTGATGTCCGGAGCCGCGAATGTTTCCGTGAAGGTCACGTGCCGGGCAGCGTCAGTCTGCCGCATGGGGAAATTTCCGAGGCGGAGATGGGAAAATATCCTTTGGATACTAACTTTGTCGTGTACTGTGCCGGACCGCATTGCAACGGCGCCTATCGCGCGGCCATTCGACTGGCCCGACTTGGAAGGCCCGTGAAGATAATGCTCGGCGGCGTCACGGGTTGGGAGGACGAGGGGTTCTCCCTCGAGCCGACCTGAGGGCTGTCAACGGGTTTAGATCGGGAGGTTCATCGTGTTGACTCATCATAAGTTCAACTCCTGCCCCATGGTGGCGCGCACCTGCTGCCTGCTGATGGGCCTCGCCATTGTCGTGAGCTTCGCTGCAAGGCTGGAAGCCCAGCGGTTGTGGACCGAACAGCCTCCCGGCCACATGGCCCTGCCGGCCCTGCAGGACATGAACGACGCCTTGCTGGCCATGACCGACAGGGTGCTGCCGGCGGTTATCAGCCTGCAGGTGCGTGGGGAAAATCGCGCCGCTTCCGACCTCCCCCGCGACCATCCACCGGTGCCGGATCCCAGCCTGCCGATCACCGGCAGCGGCTTCATCATCAAAGCTAACGGTCTGGCAATCACCAACCAACACGTGGTTGAGGACAAAGAGGAAGTCTACGTGCGCCTTTTTGACGGCACTCGGACCCGGGCCAGGGTGCTGGGCCGCGACGCAATGGGCGACATGGCGCTGCTCCAAATTGAAAGCGAAACCCCGCTACCCGCCGTGCCGTTGGGCAACTCGGACGCCTTGCGGGTTGGCGAAATGGTGGTTGCCATCGGCAGCCCAATCGGTTTTGAGCACTCGGTGACGTTTGGAATCATCAGCGGCAAGCGCCGCAATTTTCTGCGCTCCAGCGCGGTGGGCGGCTACCTGCAGACGGACGCCGCCATCACCACGGGCAACAGCGGCGGGCCGCTCATCAACATGCGCGGCGAGGTGGTCGGCGTGAACACGGCCACCATCCGGCGCGGCACCATGGGGTTTGCCATACCGGTGAACGCCGTGAAGGCGGCCCTGCCGCAGCTTCATGACTACGGCCGCGTCAAGCGTGCTTACCTCGGCGTGCGCATTGACCCCATCGACCGCGACAAGATCATCAGTCTGGGCCTTCAATCGCCGCGCGGCGCCTACGTGCACGCGGTGTTGAGCGGCCAGCCCGCACAGCGCGCCGGCATCGCCATCGGCGACATTATCATTGGATTCGACGGTGTTGAGGTAAATTCTCCCTTTGATTTGCAAGCGGCTGTCGCGTCCAGACCGGTCGGCAAGATGGTGCGGATTGAAGTTCTTCGCCAGCAGCAGCGGCGGACAGTCGAATTGGCCTTGGGCGAAATGCCGGATAACTGACAGCCATCCTCAACCGCGAACGCCTTCCGTTGCCCGCATATTGGGAGCAGGCCGGTGGAAAGGGCGACATCATGGCCCCAAGTGACGGCACAACTGTGTCCCCCAGGCTCCTTATTGTTTCGAATCGACTGCCGGTGACCATCCGTCAGGACGACGACAACTATGCAATCGAGCGCAGTTCCGGCGGCCTGGCTACTGCCCTCTCCCACCCCCACGCGGCACTTGACAGTCTGTGGCTCGGCTGGCCCGGCGCTTCCTATGACTCGGCGGACGGCCGTCGCCGGCTGACCCGACTGCTGCGCGACACTTATCGATTTTCCCCCGTTTATCTGAGCGACGAGCAGGTTCAACGTTATTACTATGGATTCAGCAATGGCGCGCTATGGCCGCTCTGCCATTTCTTTGAGGCACACGTGGTCTATGACGACGACGAGTGGGAGGCCTACGTGGAGGTCAACCGCTTGTACTGCGACGCGGTGGCCGAGGAGATTCATGGCGACGAACTGATCTGGGTCCACGATTATCACCTGTTCCTTCTGCCGCAAATGCTACGCCAGCGTTTCCCCGAGGCGCGCATCGGTTTCTTCCTGCACACCCCCTTCCCGCCATCTGAATTGTTTCGCGTGTTGCCTTGCCGCGAGGACCTGTTACGCGGTCTGCTGGGCGCCGACGTGGTGGGGTTTCAGACATTCAACAACCTGCAGAATTTTCTCTACTCAGTGTATCGGGTGCTGGGCATCGCTGCTGACATGCATGCGTTAGTCATATGAAGGCCGGCCGGTAAGCTGTGCGGTTCACCCTATCAGCGTCGACCCCTTGCCGTTCCTCAAGGCTCTGGATTCGAGCGACGACACGAGGGAAGAACTGCGGCGGCTGAACGAAGCGATGGGAGACCGCAAGGTCATCCTGGGCATGGACCGACTGGATTATTCCAAGGGCATTCCCGGTCGGCTGCGCGCCTACCAGCGGCTGCTGGTGGCGCATCCTGAGTGGCGGGAGGCGGTGACGCTGGTGCAGGTGGCGGTTCCGTCGCGCGAGCAGGTGACCGCGTATCAAGACCTGCGGCGGCAGGTGGACGAATTGGTGGGTGAAATCAACGGCACTTTCGGCACCACCACCTGGACACCGGTGCAGTACGTGCATCGCAATCTGCCATTCTCCGAGATATGCGCCCTGCTGCGCCGGGCTGACATCGCGTTGATCACGCCTCTGCGCGACGGCATGAACCTGGTCGCCAAGGAATACGTCGTGTGCCAGAAGGAGCGCGCCGGGGCGTTGATTCTCAGCGAGTTCGCCGGGGCCTCCTCGGAGCTGGGCGAGGCATTCTTCGTCAATCCCTACGACACCGAGGGCATGGCGGCGCGCATGCACGAAGTTCTGTCGGCGTCTGAAGAGGCGCTGGCCGACCGGATGGGCGCTCTGCACCGCCGCGTGTGCGGGCACACGGTGCACGCCTGGGCACAGAAGTTCCTGTCCCAGTTGTCCGGCGTGCAGACCCAACGAACGTCCTGCTCACTGAACGATACCGCACAGCGGCGGCTACTGGTCGGCTACGCCAAGGCGGAAAGTCGTATTTTGCTGCTGGGGTATGACGCAGCGCGGCTTCGTCCGTGGAACGCTGGTACCACAGCGCCCCGGGCCCCGACCTGTTGGACGCCTTGCAGGCGTTGAGTCTGGACCATCGGAATACGGTAGCCGTGCTGAGCGGGCAGGACCGGGAAACCATAGAGCACTGGTTCGGTTCATGTGGCGGCATTCTGGCAGCAGAGGACGGCGGATGGATTCGTGACACCACACAGGCTCCCTGGCGCCAGACGCTGGCGGACCTGGAATACGACTGGAAGGACACGGTGCGACCGATATTGGAGGAGGCGATAAGCCGCACCCCTGGTTCCGTGTTGGTCGAACGGGGGCACTCGTTGGGCTGGCAATATCATCTTGCGGACCCCGAATTCGGCCTGTGGCAGGCGCACGAACTTTACATCCAATTGCAGGCGCTGTTGGCGGGGAGCGGGCTCCAGGTGCACCGGGGCAACAAGATGGTGGAAATCAAGTGGGAAGAGATTCACAAGGGGATGGTCGCCTCCCAGATCATCGCCGCTGCCGGTGGGGATTTCATGCTGGCCATTGGCGGACAGCCATCCGACGAGGCGCTCTTCGAGGCGGTGCCCACGGAGCAGTGGACACTCAAGACCGGAACCGGGTTTTCCAGAGCGCAGTT